AAAGGAGAGATGATTCCTCAAGACGAATATGATCACATGGTGAAGTTGTGGAATACATTCGATATCAAGACATGGGGTGAATACTACGAATTGTACAATGTACTCGATGTGACTCTCATGGCCGATGCGTTCGAACATTTTCACAATACCACACTGAAGGCATTTAGTGTTGATCCCATGCATTACATCACAGCACCACAGATGGCATATTCGCTCTTCTTGAAGGTCACATTTGAAGGCAATCATGGCATGAAGGCATTGAAGGCATTGTTTGAGAAGTGGGTTGTATACATCACACGAACCAATACCAACGAGGGGATGAGTGAATAGCATCTGGAGAAGATCTTCATGGATCACATGGGTGAATTCTATAAGAACAAGGGCATTCGATTGATGGAGACAGGCGAGATCGATGACTTCATGTGATTGTTGAAGAACCTGCGTGGAGGCATCACATAAATTGTGAAACAGCATGCCAAGGTCGACATTGACAACTAGCAGCAAGCAACTGTTAGCAGTGAAGGCATTTATTATCTCGATGCCAACAATCTGTATTGTGGAGCCATGCATCGAATGATGCCTTACGAATTGGTGGGTATACCCGAGCGTCAAGAAGTGATGGAGAAGATCAATCGAAATCCGAACAGATGGATGGATTCAATCACTCAAGACATTTGACAAGTACGGATACTTCATCGAGTGTGATATCGAAGCATCCACAGAACTCCACGACAAGTTCAATGACTTGCCATTCTTCCCCGTACAGAAGGCGGGTATGTGTTCCGATGGAATCAAGAAATTCGCTGAGAAGAGAGATATCGTGGACAAAGTGAAAGAGGTGAATACACCGAAGCTCATCTGCGATCTTGTACCTCGTCAAAAGTATCTCGTGCATTACTCACTGTTGCAACTGGGCATTCAACAGGGTTATCGTGTCACGCACATTCATCACATCATTCGTTTCAGGCAGGCACCGTTCATCTTCGAATATGTGAAAATGTTGAGTGAGAAACGAGCCAAATCCAAGACCACTGTGGAGAAGAACCTGTACAAGCTGTTGGCAAACTCGACCTATGGCAAATTCGTGGAGACTGGATTGAAATGGATGAAAGTGAAGTTCGCTAGCACGTGGAATAAACGTGAGGCAATCATCCAGAAGCATGGATATGACATGCTCGTAGGAACTATTATGTTCACGGAGTATTTGATTGGCATCAAGTTGAATTTACCGATGGGCAAGGTAATGGAACCATTCTTCATCGGATTTGCCATCTTGGACATGTCCAAGCGCATCATCTACGATTTCTACTATAATGTGCTCAAGAACATATTCGATAATGTGGAGATATTGGGACAGGACACGGACTCGCTCATCGTAAAATTGAGTGACAAGGAAAACATTATTCACGAGATGTGCGGCATGTACAAGTTTTTCGACTTTTCAGTTGGATAACACGAACTATTTCAATGGGCAACTCGTGAACTATTACGAACAAGAAGTAGACAAGAGCAAATTCTTTTCGCTCTCATCATTCCTCAACTTCAACAAGAAGCTGTCGGGACCTATCTTTAAGGACGAGCACAATGGACATCGCATCACCGAGCTTGTGGGATATAGACCCAAGATGTACTGCCTCGTGGATGAGAAGCATGTGATACACAATGCAGCAAAGGGAGTACCTCGGAATGTGGTAATCGATGGTGAGAGAATGAGTGTAAAAAACATCAAGTTATACAAGCGTGTACTCGAGGCAGAGAAGAAGGGAGATGCAGTGATCGAAGGCTCCTTCAAACTCATCAATAACCAGGGATTCGATATCACAACGAAGGAACAGACCAAGACACTCATGACTTGCCAGGATAACAAAAGATGGATCTTGGTAGACAACGCGCATAAACTGGAATTCGTGCATTATCGTCTGTCTTACATGTAAAGACGAGTTGTTTATTATTGGTCAGAGCAAGACAGTCTTGGAAGGGATGTAGGGGTTCCGATACTTTTACGGGTTGATACAGGAGAACATGCCGTTACTAGGTGAGCCTTGGATAAGCAAGGAGTAGTACATCACTTGTTCCTCTTTACCATAAACAGCAGGGGTGAGCAAAATAAGTTAAGGTTAAATTTCGTACCATATTTCTTATAATGCATAAACATAAAAGTTGTCCAGGGTCACCAACAGCGAACAATTATAAATAGGGTCTCAGGGGCAACTTCAAGCTGTTGCCTCTCAGTTGACGGGGTCTGAAATATGAACCTGACTTATAATGGCCGAAAAAGGCCCATAAAATTTTGCGAATAAGCATCAATATATATCCTGTAACTCCTTCATTCATTCAGTGAATTGATTTGTTAATAAAAGAAGAAGAGAAATGAAAAGATATGACTAGAATTGAAATGGGGTGTGAGTGAATGATGATAAGAATGTGATATATAAATAGGTTAGTGATGAATAGTAAAATGAGAACGGCCATATCTGATGGAAAGCGCCCTAACCCGTCCGATCTAGGAAGCTAAGTCATCACGAGTCGAGTTAGTACCAGTGTGGGTGACTCGCTGAGAAGTCTCGATGCTGTTCTTTTATTCCACTATTTTTTTCTTTTCATTGCATTACATTTTTATGCATGAATAGATATACGAATTAACCGAAATCGCGAATCATTTTTTATTTTCGTTCTACATTATTGTGTTATGGTTCATTCTTTAGTTTTACTGATTACTTGGATATCACTGGTATGAACACTTGATATCAATCTGTATTACCCGATTTATGTATTATTTCTAAATAGTTAACACAATTGACTGCGTTAATGGTTCATAATTGAGTTTCTTTAATAACCTAATAATCAAAATACTCAATTATACTTATTATCTCTTAATGTGGTTGTATTGTGTGTTCATTGTAAACAATATCACATTGGTGGATATTACAATTAACTATCCATATATTTCGTTTCTGATAGTCATGTGAATTTCTTGCTTGGAGATATTAATTCAAAATTCCTATTTGTGATCATCATCACTATGCACCAAATGGATAGTAGTCATGACCTCTACTCAACCTCATTATTTTGTTGCTAATATCACACTTCGATTCAAAACACCGATTCGTCCCATACACACAATCACTATAGAAAACTCACTTCTGTAACAAAGGCTAATTAAACTAATAACATATTAAATTCCCACGCCTCAGTTCTTCCCCACACTCTTCTACTTCTTCTTCTTCTTCATCATCATCATCTGTTTCCCCTTCTCCTTCGCTATCTTCTTTCCTGACTTCTGCTTCCTCACATTAAATCCATCCTTCAATATCTGCAAAACATCCTCCTCAATAAACTCATCTTCATCAAACACCATTCCCTTCTCCTCCTCTTCGGGTTGACCCCAGTGCAATTCTCTCACTTTCTGTTTCATCTCCGCAGTTTCCTCGTCTGATACATCTGTATAGTTCATGAATCGCTCCATCGCTCTGTATACCTTTTTCAGATCTCGGAATTGAGCTCCGTTCAATACATACAGTCCATAGACAGAACGAATCAACCCAAATTGAATGCCAAGCCGCGCCATGCGGGCAAAAAGCGTGTTTGACAGCACCAAACTTGCAGAAGTGCTGCTCTCCGAAGCGGCGTGTAGAACGTCGCTGAGTACAACCTCGAGGAGGGTTGCATCGTTAGTTATCTTCGCGATATCAAGCAGTAATGCAATGACAAATTGCTTTTCTTGGACAAACGATGTCGGCAAGTCGGAAAAAAGAGTCGAGCGGTAATCCAAATAGCCGGATACCACTCGCTTGAATTCTGAAGAGGAAGCCAAGCTCCGTAAGTAGAGATAGACATGACGAGGAGAACAGAAACTGCTGTGGAGAAGGGAAGAACAGCGACTCCACTCATTGGAATGAAGACAAGCAGTGAGAATGTGCTCTAAATCAAGTTCTCGCTGGTGCTTCTCGCTATCTGTTGTGACTGGAACGGATTGGAGGTGATTCCAGTAAGTAAAAGCTCGAGTAAGATTTGGAGAGTCGCTTTTGGAACAGAGATATAACCCCATTTGGTAGAGATTGGGAGATGAATCCGATTCAGAGTGGGACTACATATATAATAATAATAAATTCAAATAAAATACGAGCAAGAATCGATCCAAAAACTCTAGAAACTCAGAATACTGTCTAAAATGACAAACACGCCGCAATACTTCATAGACAGAATTGGAAGAGAGATTAATGTATCTGTCTGCATCTTCAAGAACGTAATGTAGTAATGTCGGATCCTTCACTTGAATGGTAGCAATGACCAGCATGCTGTATAAGTTGACCGCATGCTCTTGGGTTGCTTCTTTCTGGTATTCAATTGCCGTTTTACCTAAGGAAGTGAAACCACAATTCTGACATTTCTTTTCCAAATTCTTAATGATATCGCTCTTATTGCTCGTCATGGGATACTTGGCAATAAATTCATTTAAAAAAGGAGCAAATTCCTTGACATTGCGAGTCGCACCCTCTTTCGCCCCCTGATGACTTGAAAATGTCCGAGTGAAGGTAACTGGGAACTGCTGCAACTGTTTCGAAGATACTGCGAATTCCCTTCGAAAAGGGCAAGTAGGACAAGGGGTCAGCATAGAGAGTCGGCTGCTCCACAGACTGGAAAGAGATCGAACACTCTGTCTGATCATCTTTCACAAATGTGACATATTTGCATATTTTTGGTGCTTTATAGCAATCTGTTTGGTACCCAACTTTCTCTTTGACACGGAGAGAAACAGTATCGAAACACTTTACTATTTGTTCCATGCACATAGCTAACTACCTTTCCACATATAGATTTCCTGTTTTCGACATGGATCAGGAGAAATAAAATCACGCAAGATGGTCCCTATTTAGTTATTCATTTCTAATAGAAATACACTATTCCAAATTGAATAATAATTAGGGCCTTCTCAGACACAATCGATTTAATCATATTTCTTCTGTGGATTATTTCTATCGCTCGATTGATATTTTGCAATGAGCACGATTGCTAAGTACTCTTCTATTTTCGTAGAGGTTGGATACTTTTTACGTTAAGTTGATTTTGTAGGGTGCTACCACTTCTGTGAAGGCTGGAGCCAACCTCTGCTATGCTGCTTTCATTATGATGGTCTTGTCCGCTGTGGGTATGATCATCTCTCAGGTGATTGAGCAAAACTTTACCTCCTGCTCTTTCAAGGACTTGATGGTAGATTTTTATTTCGGATTTGACGGGTAGGATTACGTACCTAACTGTCTACAGGAGTATTTGGAGAACTCTTCTTCTGGAGCTGGTTTCCGCGTGATTCTCCGTCTTTTCGGTCACTATTTACCGAAGCCTACTGATATTTAGATGCGCTTGCTTCTCTGCTTCTCATTGCTGTTGGTAATTGTCTTGAGAACGTGTTCCGCGGCTCTGTGATGTCTCGTGTGCTGGTATGGGAAACTTTAGTCTATTGATTGTAGAACGGCACTCTGCATCTGGCCGCTCTGCTCGTCGTGTTCGAGGTGTGCTTCACTTCGGGTCTGTCCATCGTAGCATCGCAGTGAGTTGTTTATTGGTAGCAGCAGCGCGACTTCTACAAGCGCTGGAAGTACCAGAACTACATGCCTCAGATCGTGGCCACCGGTATCATGATCGATCACAGCTTCGATATGATCTGGACGCTGGATAACCTTCTGTACACCTATTTCTTGCTGATCCTCGGCTTCCTGACTTCGGAGCACGACGTAGCTGCTAGGAGGCGGATTGATGGGTAGAAGTTCTCTCGTGGATACACGATCACCGCGTATGTGGGCTTCTGGACCGGAATTCTGTCCTTCCTGGGCAATATCATTCGACTGGGAGCGTCCAGCAAAGGCTTCGCCAATTTCTGCACGTTCCTGGAGTATGGAGGCAACTTGGTCATGCAGCTGACTCTGCTTGTGATTATTGTGTGGACTGGAAGAGCGCTGGCTGGAATGGAGGGAGATCTGATTGGCAAGAGAGGCCGCAAGGGCAAGAAGGGCCGCAAGGGCAAGAAGGGCAGGAAGAACAACGTCTAAGGGGGTGTTCGCTTGCTGATTGATTGATTGATTGATTGATCTCTTACTAATTCTCGTAAGAGAAAGCAGTGTTTGTGACAAACAATCGAAAAGAAATTCTTGAGAACTTCATAGGCGAAAGGCAACGGACTACACAGAAATCGACCGGGCGGCAGCCTACATGAGCGCCAGGAGAAAGGGAATGAGCTTTGAACGAGCCACCACGAGCTTCTTAAAGCTCCAAATCCGCTTGTTCTCTTCGATTTTGGTGAGATAATCGCTACACATCAGTATCACCCTGCGTCACCACATCAACGCATCGCGTGTTACGTAAATGCGACCATCGCGCGGACCTTGGAACCAGAAGATATTCAGCGAGTTCAGCACAGAAGTTATCGTGTTATACGTCTTTTTTGCAGGAGAATGGAAGTCCGTGATAAAGATCAAGTCGTGCACGGACTCCAGCGAAGCAGTGCTCATCTACTTCAAAGCAATCCACACCAACCACTACAGAAGAAAGTTCCTGCAGAACGATCGTTTTGCAGGCAGCCTGCTTCAGCTTCGCGCAGTCAATCACTTTGGGGAACTGCTGATACTGCTGGGAGAGCGTATCTTGCGGAAAGAGCAGCGACGCATATGGGTCGCTTTCAGGCAGCTTCGGATCACAAAGCATTCGAAAACGCACATTATTCTTCGCGTCGTTGTACACGTCGATCACGAGCTGCGTGTCTTCGAAGGCTTCGATCAATGCCGAATAGCTGCGAGTGAGAGACTGCGATATCCATCATCCACATTCGCCCATCGAACGGAATTTTGTCTTTATTCATGTATTGAATCAGCGAGTCCAGTTTGTCATACTCGTGAAAATGGCCCAGCAACTGAATCATCTGGAGATAGAAATCGACGGAAGGTGTCGTCGTCTACTTCCCATCGATTTTCGTCCACTACCTTTCGATATCGATGCATCAATGTCATCGCTAACGCGAGGGTTTGCGCCCGCTCCTCCTCCTCCTCCACCTTATTCCCGTCCATCGACCGATGTTTCAGCGTGTGATTGAGCCCCATTAGAATATACGTGTATCTACTCGCCATCGCCTCGAAACCCAAACGATTCCCCGTTAAACCCAAGCGAATGCGATGCGTCGAGAGCGACCGTCCGTGCGCTTTTGATGTCCCCCGTCTGAACAACACAACGTTCCCTCAACGCTACTTTCATTAATGCGTAAATGTAGTGGTTGAACACTTCTTTCTGATCGCAACCCGTCGATTCGCACACAGCCACTCTGTTTCAATTCGATTGTGTACATTTACATCTCGTTTAGTTTCTCTTTGATGCTTTTCGAACTCTCCGATTCGGCATCGCTGCTCGAGAAGTAATTAAAAAGAACGGTGTAGCAGCTGCGAGGAATGGTGAGCGAATGCTCTGTTTTCTCGGCCATTTCGTGAAGTAATAGCAACGCTGCGTCGCCTTGATTGTTTCGACAGTTCACTTCAATGCCTGTTGAGTATGCTTTTAGTAGTTGGGTTTGAAGAGTGGATTTGGTGGATTCGTTCGGAGCGGTTTGAAGCTGGGCTTCGATCGAATGGATGAGTTTGTTCATTACAGCCAACGCGTCTTCTAGACGCTGGCAGTTGCTGTAGGAACGAATGATGCTCAGTTGCACGTTTTCGTCCAAGTTCATGTCTGTTTTGCTCATTATCTCGTAGAGATGGATAATTTTGTCGTACTGCTTGTATTTAAACAGCATCATGTAAATGCTTGTGGTGGCGGGAATCGACATAGAAGACAAAATTCCCTTCTCGAAGGCGCACTGCAAGTAAATCTGAAAGAGAAAAGGCAAACCGTTAGAAGCTTGTAACCATTCATGTACGTCTCTGGCATTGCAGCATGCAATGACCATGCTGTTAAACACGTCGATCTGGTCTTGCTTCGAAGAAAACGCTTGCTTTTCCAACATTTTCGTAATCACGCCAATCTAGATTGCTATCCATAGAATAACCCTACGTCTTTCTGAGAAAAATCACTAATAACAGAATCGTCCTTCAAAGCGCTAATTACCGATTCGGGTAGCGAAACACTTGATTTGGGTAATTCCTTGATTGTTTGAATGATCTTCTCGGGGTCTATCTACAAACAGAACGTGAACAGCACAGTCCTTACATAAAAGTCACCTTCGTCTTTGAATCCTGTTGAAAATAATTGTTTTCTTATCGCTGACTGTGAAAATGCATCACATCGTGTAGAAAAACACCGCAATGCAAACATTGTTCTTTTGTTGTATATAAATACACGGGGACTTATTCTACGAACTAGAATACAGGTTCTCCCTATCGCATTCATTTTCGTTCCCTTTCTAACAAACAAACAATGAATCTTGGTTGCTTTGGATTACATTGTCTACAGCCTGCTGAATCCAATCCGAAAACTAAAGAATCACACACGATCCTAATACCCACATTGAAAACAAAGTGGTGGAGCAAACCTCTCTTTCCCGCTCTGAAATCAGCAAAATCGTCTTCCTTGGCGGCAATGGCTTTCACCCCACTTTTCCTGTACACAGACCCATCTGGATTATTGATCTCAACAGTGCATGGCTTGAAATGGATCAGTTGCCCAGGCAGCAGACACGGCTTCACCGGCTCTCCATTCGCTCTCTACCATTCATTTCGCTCCATGTTTCAACAGCCTGCTTCCAGTTCTTCTCATAGAGAACCTTTTCGGCTGGAATCTGCGAATCGTCGCTATAAAACAAGTCCTGTAACCTGGGGTGAGACCAAGGCAGCAAGCACCAGAACAGCTCCAGTTTGGTTTTCTTGCAGTGGCAAAGCCCAGAAACGATATCGTCCTGCAGATTGATGTAGGTCTGCGCAGAGAAGCGAGGGAATAAATCATCTCCCATGATGGTCGTGAACGTGTTTGCAAGTGTGTCGGGCACCAGACAGGGAGAAAGAGTTTGTCTCGGTGGATCGAATGTGTAGCACGTGTTCGGGAAGTCGCGTTGCAGCGCCAGCGAAAGTAGCGACGCCACGCCGCCGCCCATGGAATGTCCTGTGATGATTAACCGCGTGAACGACGTGATGTGCGAACGAACGGAGTGTGATATCTCGATATCTGTGAGATTGGGACGATTGTGCAACAATGCTGTGAGAATGTTGCTCTCCTCTAAACTCTGCAAGATGCTCTCCGTGACCAGAAGCATTCCCTGCTTGTTAAACGTCGCAATCGTATCCACTTGGTGTGTGTATGCGTTCTTTCCGTTAAATCCATATCGATTTCCCAGGCTTTCGAGTGATACGGGTCCTATTTGGAATCCGAGCTTTCAGATTTTCTACGACTCAGCATGTCGGTGAGCACGTTCGCCAGCGTTTTCGTTCCGCGAACACACAAAACCACAGCGTCGGTGTAGTAATCGTACGCTAGAAGCCACGGAGTAGCGTCCAGACTACGACTCAATGAGTGTTTTGGAATCGAACTTGTCGTCTAGAGAGTAATAAATCAACTCTCCCTTGCACTCTTCGATCAGAGTGCTCATTGTTACAACTTCTAAAATAGAACTCCTTCCCTCGATGAGTCGTTTTCGAATTTGCCGAAGCATGGAAACGAACGGAGGCACTTTCCCCTCTTTCATTTTTCGAAGCGATTCGCTACGTTCAATATATAATGAAGGTCATAAGCTACAAGGAAACGCCATAGATCGCATTTGCATATTCCGCATAGTGCTTTAGCTCATTAAGCACTTCCTTATTCGTAAATAACGTTTCTTCCTGTTCGATTGGGTGGCTTTGCAGCTCTTCGGGGTGTTCTTTCAGATAAACGAGGTATTGGTCGAGTGGGAGATTCTTTACGACGTTGAGTGGAACGCCGCTCTCGCGTTTGTGGTGCCAAACGAGATTGTTGAGAAGCAGACCGCAGATGATGTCGGTGAAGCAGAGATCTTGAAAGGACGACGTCGATAGGAGGGTCTCTGCCAGCATGCCTAGCGTCTCGTCATTACAAACTACCCGAATCACTGCGGATTCCAAGATTCGTTTCAGTCCCGTTTTCGTGAACTTCGGAACAGTGAGCAAAACGAGAGACACGGTTACCAACCAGGATTCCAGAGAGGTCAAGACGCAGTAGCTAGTGATACAGAAGGTGAACTCTTTTGAAACAAGGGTTTTTGTTATGATGAGCTACATAGGTACAACAAAATAACGAATACCACAAACCACAAAGGAGAGTTTATCGTATTCAATACCATCAGTGTAAATACGTGAATAGTAAAAAAGAGGCTCACTCCCCTTCTCTTGCTGCTTTACAAAATCAAGGAATCATAAAAATAGAATAAGGATATCTCAAGTACGGTGCCCTTCATTGCCAGATGCATGATAAGGAAGGAAGTCTATAATAGCAACGGAACCAGCTTCAGATACCAGAGAAAGCTTTGTATGGGCTATTATTTGAACGAAAAAGAACAAATTGTATGGTCCTCTACATCATTAGATAGAATGGTGAGAAAAACGGTAGGCCTATGTCCGGAAACACCTGATTATACAATTGAAGGGCACGAAATAGGAAAATAGAGCACAAAGCTCTGTACAGCAAGTCTAGGCCCATCAGCATCGTTGAATCGTCGTCCCCGATATAGTTTCTCTTGTGATTAATCAATAATTTCACCATCGCATGAATAATACACTTTTGTCCTATTATTGAAGTTCATTTTATTTTTGCATGCTTGCATTATGTCCCCTTACGGCTCTAGCGCGCGGGGTTGTGTCTAGGTAACGTGCTGCGAGTCTGAATTCAACGTAGAGGCTTTGTTACTATTCACTTCCATACTCCAAATGGTGAAACAAAGACAGTGAAGGCAGAACCCGGTGAAAATCTTCTTCGTGTTGCTCAGCACAATGATATCCCTTTGGAAGGTTTCCATTTCCTCATTACATTGAATTATAGGTGCCTGCGAGTGTGGTTTAGCTTGTGCTACTTGCCATGTAATTCTTGACAAGAAGCATTACGATGCCATTCCTGAGCCAACAGAAGAGGAGGAAGATTGCCTTGACAATGCCTCTGGCATCACAGAAACGTATTGAGTGATTGAAATAGGATAATCGGTAGCTCGCGCCTCAGTTGTCAAATCAAAGTGAATGAAGACATGGACGGAATGGAGGTGCGTGTTTTCCATATACTATCTTACCACCTAGGTCACGGTCCCCAAGATTACCCGCAACTTCTATGTCGATGGTCATGTTCCCAAGCCGCATTCGTTTGTTTTCCTCAAACACAACAGTTACTCATTTTCTTCTTCTCCTTCACAATAAAAGTCACATACCCAACATAGGCGCCCAACACCAAGCAGGTAGTGATCACCAGTTCGCACAAGAACTACACATTCTACCCTTTCTTCCATTCTTACTTGCGTCGGCGTGCAGCTCTTCGCTCCGTCCGATACAAACAGCGGCATGTAGAACAGCGGCACCGCGAATCCGAAGCATTGCAGCTACTCTCGACCTCTCTCTCCATGCCTACCATTCGGAAAACCGAGTTCGCGTTCGTGCGATCGGACACGAAATACTGATTCACCGTCGCCAAGCACTACGACTCATCGAGGTCTTCGCGCCTCTACCTCCGTCTGGAACCCCGCATCCGCGATCGCCATCACCACGCCTGTGGCGTAAATCAGCCAGTTCTGCATCGAGTTGGCGAACCAGGAGAGCGCGATGGCGGTCAATTCGCAGAACACCGCGACCGAAACGACCACGAGATGGCCGAAGCGATCGCTGACCCAGCCGTGGATGAAGGAGAAGACGACATCGACGATGCAGTACACGCCGGTCATCGTGCCGACGGTGGCCAAGTTGACGATTTGGCGCGTGAACATGTTCTGCAGGAACACTTGCTGATAGCCGTCGTTGAAGAAGAAGCACAGCAGAAGCAGCATTCGCGGCGTCATGGCGGTGTGCAGCACGGACTGAATCTCGCTGAGAACGCCGCGAGACTGCGGGGAGGAGGCTTTTTTGTCGGAATCTGTGTCTTCTTTGACGGTTCTTTCGTTGTTTTCGGGGGACTCGGCGGTCAACTGACCGTCGGAAGACATGATGACCACTTCGCTGGGAGGGGAGACGACGACTCGCTTGAGGAAGCCCAGGGGGATCACGGAGAAACCCGCCATGCAGCCAAGGAAGATGAAGAGGATGGACGTGCTGCCGTTCCAACCGTTGTGGATGTCCGAGGAAATGCCCAACAGATCGACGAGAACGCCGGAGGTAATGCTACCCAACGCCTGGGTGTGAGAGAAAACAAATAAGGAGGGAATACGCTGCCGAACATGTAAATAGACATAAAAATACCAGACTTCTTGCCTCGGTCAGAGTCGTTCGAGTTGTTTCCTAAAATGATGCCTTGCGAGGCCCAAACCATCTAAAATTCATAGAGAGCGGATAGAAGTACGGCAGATAAAAAGCCATGGCACGCACAGATAAGATAGGGTACAACAGGCAGAATATAAGAGAATTGGGATATGTATATTCTGGAAATGATAGTGGAAAGCAAAAACTACATGTAGGAAAAACCGCACCAAAAAATCGTTCGTTCTGCACTTCCAAACATCTTAATTACGCTGGGAACAAGGAAATTGGAAAACGCGTTGACGATGTTAACGATCGCCATACCGATGGAACCTATGTTCCCTACAGTGAAGTAACCCGATAGCCAATACCGAGAATGGGCACCGCAAAATTCATAAAGGCATTCGTTCCTACAGTCAACAAGTCTCAACAGCCCCTACCGAAGAAATTGATGCCAAAAGCTACACTAAGTAGAGCCACGTTGATAGCATTCATTTTGGTCCCCCCTTGAACTTCTGACTTGTTTATTACAGGCTCACAAATGCTCATTTTTCTTGAAGATTGACGCCGCATAAACTGGTATTCGATATACTTTTTTTTGAAATGAATTAAGTTCTGTAGTGATGACGCTTGGGTGCCCCGCGATTCTTGTTTCTTCTCAAAACACAATTAAATCTCTTATACCAATAATCAATTTCTCGATTTTCTCTCTTATATTGGGTGCCCAACGTGTTAACTCAGTCCATACTATTCGGCAGTAGTTGTAGGACATGGCACAGATCATACATCGATTTAACCTACAAATTAGTTGGACATATCGTGCAATACAGTCTCATGCTAAAAACACAAATAAAAAGAATCACCTTTCGTTTCGTTCATATATCCCTTTCTTGAAGAGTTTACGTTGTTATCGCAAACATTGGTATTTGGGTTGAGGTAAGGTAATAGTTGTTGTACAGGCTTCTGAGACTTGTTAAGCAAGCTTATCCACCTTTTTTGACTCGACAGAGCAGTCAATAATTGCGCTCACGTAGATGGTTATTCCAACTCAGATTTTTGCGTAATTCCAGTTCTGTCGTAAAGAGAATACTTGGACGATCCGAGAACGACGATTAGTTTTGGTTTATTCGCACACCTTCCCACCATGGTTCTCACTCCTCCACCAGTTTCTACAAAGCCTCTTTCCACCTCCTGTATATTCAACAAACACCCCAATATTCGGCTTCATTGTACATTTCGTACTTCTCCGTTTCTCTCACTTTCACCTTCTCCACTTCGATTCCCACATTCTCCGTCCTCCTCGAAGCCTTCTACCGCTTATTCCTTCCTCCCATACCAACATGTCCCATCAGCGAATACACATAGTCGTTCATCAGCGGAATATACCTCGCAATGCCTCCCTGCGATTCAGGGTCCCAGTCCAACGCGATGATTTCCTTGCTTGCCTCACCCCGGATCGGGCGAATCTGCGAGCAATCGTACGATCGCTGCCACTCCAACACTTGCTCTTCTTTCCTCGACGCACCCGAGGACGCTGCAGGCTTCAGCTGCTCGCAGTAATTGATTCCGTGGGCTTCTACGCGTCAGCTAGGACGCCAAATCGCACGATGGAAGCGAAGGAAGGAGTTCAGCTCGTCGGATTGATTGCCGTCGTCTTCGAATCGCTGCAATGAACCAGCTCCACAGAACGTACCACCAAACGGTAGTCGAAACACGCACTGACCTCGTCGGGAAGCACCTCCCACACGGCTTCGGCCACCACGTTGGGGTTGTCGGGACGCGTGAGCGGGATCGGAGCGAACGACTGCTCGATTCGCTCTTTCTTTGAGGAGGCAGGGGAGCTGCGAGGCGAGGACGGCTGCGAGGAGCGGGAAGGCTGCTTGGTGGTTGTGGAGAGACTGCCATACTCCATGAAGCGGAGCCAGGAATCGGGAGTTTCGTTGATTAGATTGGACTTTTCGTTCTCGTCAAGATCCGCAAAGAGAACCTGGTCTTCGGGACTCATGGACTCCTTCACTGGACCTGCTTCTAGTAAAATAAGCGACTAGGAAAAGAAATACGAGAGTATTTGTCGTAACCAATGATGGGAAAGTCCACCTGGCGAATACTGAAATGGACGGGCCATCTATAGTCTGTGTAAACACTTGATTCGGGTAAAAACTCGCTTAATCTTTGGAATTAGCCAAATAGACGAAGAGTGAATACCCCGAACTATCGAACGGAATATTTAAAAATCGGGGGCCGACGGGGATCTCTGGAATACTACAATGGTAGAAACGACTTGTTCGCTGCCATACTCGTTGCCCATTTCCAAGTTGCACATAAATCCGGATTTAGCATCTGTGATCGAGACAGAATTTGGTTCCTTGGAGCTTACACTGCATTTGAAACAGATACCTGGTTCATTCTGCGAAATTGCTTCTGTTTTCGTTCTTAGACAATAGTAATAGAAAAATAAGAGAGTATCCGAAACAAACAAAGGAAATACTAGCTTGATGCGAACAGGAAGTGTGGCTGTGAATAGAACGGGTCGTTTTGTATAAAAATTCTCTGTCTAGATACACATCAGCGCGTTTTTCGGACCTAAAGAAGTGTTTCTTTCCTATTCCGTTTCTATCATCGATAGGAAACCGAGTGCACAAGAGATGCATGCGCAATGGCCTTTAAACAATTGCCTTTTCACTTCCCCAGGTTTCCCTGTTTCTCCGTTCTAGAAAATTCGACAGTGCCGGTCGATTCTTATTCTATTCTTTATACTTAGTGAAAGCAGTACGAATTATTTTCTCTCTCCTCACCGAGTAGAATGCAACGTGTTGCTAGCAGAGGTTCGACCCTTATCAGAAGATGTTTTGCTACCGGAAAGGAACTCAAGTTCGGAGTGGAGGTGCGTATTCCAATGAATTTCCTAACGCGTAGGCTCGTAACGCCATGCTTCGCGGAGTGAATGCTCTTTCCGATGCCGTGGAGACGACTCTGGGACCGAAGGGTCGCAACGTCATTATTGATCAGCCCTACGGTGCTCCCAAGATCACGAAGGACGGAGTGACTGTTGCCAAGTCGATCGAGTTCGAAGACCGTTTCGAGAACATGGGTGCTCAGCTGGTTCGTCAGGTGGCGAACAAGGCCAACGAGGCTGCTGGAGACGGAACGACGACCGCTACGGTGCTTGCCCGTGCGATCTACGCGGAGGGCTGCAAGTCGGTGGCTGCGGGTCTGAACCCGATGGATCTGCGCCGCGGCGTGAACATGGCCGTGGACGCGGTGGTGGAGGAGCTGCGTAAGATGACGAAGAACGTGAGCTCGAACGAGGAGATCATGCAAGTGGCCACGATCTCGGCGAACAATGACCAAACGATCGGCAAGCTGATCGCCACCGCGATGGAGAAGGTGGGCAAGGACGGCGTGATCACGGTCCAGGACGGCAAGACGCTGTCGGACGAGCTGGAAGTGGTGGAGGGCATGAAGTTCGATCGCGGCTTCATCTCGCCGTACTTCATGACGGACACGAAGACGATGAAGACGGAGATGGAGGACCCGGCGATCCTCCTCTACGACAGCAAGATCTCCACGGTGCAGTCGCTGCTGCCCATTCTGGAGAACATTGCGCGCGAGGGTCGCTCGCTGGTGATCATCGCGGAGGACGTGGACGGCGAAGCACTCTCCACGCTGATCCTCAACAAGCTGCGCGGCGGACTGAAGGTCTGCGCGGTCAAGGCGCCGGGCTTCGGCGACAACCGCAAGAACACGCTGGCCGATCTGGCGGTGCTGACGGGCGCCACGCTGATCTCGCAGGAGACGGGCCAGAAGCTGGAGTCGGCGACGATGGACATGCTGGGCTCGGCGAAGAAGATCACGATCACCAAGGACGACACGGTGATTCTGAACGGCCAGGGCGCGCCGGAGGCGATCGCGGCTCGCTGCGAGAACATCCGCTCGCTGATCTCCACGACGCAGTCGACCTACGAGAAGGAGAAGTTGGAGGAGCGTCTGGCGAAGCTGAGCGGCGGCGTGGCCGTGATCAAGGTGGGCGGCGCCTCCGAGGTGGAGGTGGGCGAGAAGAAGGACCGCATTGAGGACGCTCTGAACGCGACCCGCGCGGCCGTGGCGGAGGGAATCGTCGTGGGCGGCGGCGCGGCGCTGCTGTACGCGTCGAAGGCGCTGGAGGGCCTGAAGAGCAAGGCGGCGAACTTCGATCAGAAGATCGGCGTGGACATCATCGAGAAGGCGATCCGCGTGCCGTGCGCGACCATCGCGAAGAACGCCGGCGTGGAGGGCGCGGTGGTGGTGAACACGCTGCTGAGCGGCAACGACAAGGAGATGGGCTACAACGCCTTCACCGGCGAGTACACCAACATGTTCAGCGCGGGCGTGGTGGATCCCACGAAGGTCATTCGCACGGCGCTGGTCAATGCGGCGGGCGTGTCGTCGCTGATGACCACCACCGAGTGCATGATCGCGGATCTCCCCGCCAAGGAGCCTGCGATGCCGGCGATGCCCCAGGGAATGGGAGGCATGTACTAAGTGTAAGGGGATTCATGTATTATGGCGTGTTTGTTTTGAGGCAAGAAGGTGATAATGATAATAAATAGTAAATAATAAATGATAATAATAATAATGTTAATGTGTGTGTGGAGCAAACAGGACAGACTAGACTCCAAAACAAGAGTTCAGGCGCGAGTAAATCCGTCGTTTGTAGTTTTTGTCGTCGTCCGCGAGCTCCACTCCGTCGCGCGCAAGTTCCTCGAAGGCATTCTTGATGCCGTAGGCCAGGTTGATACAGTCGTTGTAGCATTCTTCCTCGACGTCCTTGGAATCCATGTACAAATTCCACAGCAGCACGTACATGTAATAGATCCGAGTCGATGTATCCGACTTCAAATCCAGCGCCAGCTACACCTCACCCGCTCCCCAACAACCCCTCACCACATTGGCCACGCTCACGATCAAGAAAGGATTGGTGTCCATCCACTCGTACCCCGAGTTCTGGATCTGCTCCATCGCGTAAATCACCAAATGATGATTCTCCGACGCGCACAGCTCGTTCAGCAACCGATTGATGTCCTGCGACTCCACCATCGCGTCGACCTCGCTCTCCGTCAGCGCGCTCTGCTGCAGCTGCGGAACATTCCGCTCCATCAGCTGCTTCAGATACCCCACATCCTCCTCCAGCTGCGCGATGTGCTGATTCATCGCCGCCAATCCGCCCGTTCCGCTCACCGCGCCGATCCCCTTCTGGATCTGCGTCTTCATCTCGCCCACCACGCTCTGCACGTGCGGGATCACCGCGTTCTTCATCGCTGCCCCCACGCTGGAGGCGATCGCCTTCTCGATCCGCTCCCCCGAGTCCTTCCGCATCGTCTCCAGCGCCGTCGCGAAGTTCTCGTCCAGCTGCTGGCGCAGCTGCTGCATCGACGCCGCCACCGCCCTCGCCGTCTCTTCCTGGATCATCGCGCGCACCGTCTCCAGCAGCTTCGCGTTGTTCTGCGCCAGCTATCCCTCAAACCGGCTCCTCTCCCCTACCATCTGCTGCACCAGCGCGATTTCGCGCTCCTCGATCGCCACCTGCGTCGCCGACATCGGAGCCATCGGGCTCGGACTGATCGCCGCGTCGTACTGCGGGAAATGCTGCATTCCGCTCTCCCGCGCCTTCGCCTTCGTCATCATCTCCAGAATTCCCAGCTCTCGGCTCTCCTCCACCGCCTTCGGCGCCGCGACCACCGTTCCTTCCGTCGGTTTTGCCGCCTTCTTCGGTTTTGCCGCCTTCTTTGGCTTCGCCTCCGCTTTGACCGGGGCCGGCTGCGTCTTTTGCGCGGGCTCTGGCTTCGCCGCCGCCACGGAAGGCTTCGGCTGCGCGGGCTCCGGCTTCGCTGCCGGCTTCTTCGTCTTCACCGGCTTTTTCGATTTGAGCACCGGCAATTCCGACTTCTGGATGGGACTTTCCGGCTTCTGGATGGGCACTACCGGCTTGGGAATGGGCATTGCCGGACCCTCGGTGGGCGTTGCCGGCTTCTGGATGGGCACTACCGGCTTGGGAATTTCCGCCTTCTGGATGGGACTTTCCGACTTCTGGATGGGCACAACGGGCTTGGGAATGGGCATTGCCGGTTTGGGCACGGAAAGCTCGAAGGGATTGACGAGCTTGGTCTTCTTGACCTTCTTCGCCTTGCTCTTCTTCGTAGGACGCGCAGCCGCTTCCGGCTCCGGCTCTGCTTCCGGCTCCGGCTCTGCTTCCGGCTCCGGCTCTGCTTCCATTTCTGGCTCCATTTCTGGTTCCATTTCTGGTTCCATTTCTGGCTCTTGCTCGACTTCTTGCTCAGGGATTTCGTCGGACGTGAAAACAATCTGGGGCGTTTCCAAAAAGGGATTCGGCTCCGACTCGTGGTCAGTCCGGTTCCCCGTTTCCCTTTCTCCTCCATCCGCTCTCTCCTTCTCTCCCAGTTTCTCCGTTTCCCCTTTTTCATCGAGTTCGGAGCCCTCGCTCTGCGTCACTTCGTTGCTCTCCGCCCAATCCGCCCACGCCTCGCTCCCTCCTTTCCCCGCCATCCCCGCGGAACCCCGCTCGCCCTCCGAATCCACCGACTCCGAGGGCGTTTCGTTGCCCTCGTTCTCTTCGAATTCGTCGGGCTTCTCGCTGGGCTCCGACTCGGACACGTGCATTCCCAGCGAAACCCACCCATTCAGATCGAACGGCTGATTGGTCGCCGCGGGAGCCGATTCCCCGCGGGACTGGCTGCTTTCGATCATGTCAAAAATCGAGGGGTCCGGCTTGGGAACGCTCGGCGAGGAAGATTCCGCGGGGTTCGAGGCGACCGACGGGTTGGCGGGAGAAGTTGCCGCCAATTTTGCCGGTTGGGAGGGCTGGAAGGTCTGGCCGAAGAATAACCGCGGTTTAGGAACCTCGGAAATGGGGGCTGGAAGGGTCGGAGTGGGCTTGGGAGCTTTTGGAAGGACGGGAGATTTGGAAAGAGGAAGCGGAACGGAAACCGGAGCCTCGGATTTGGGATCACGCAGAGGGATTTCTAATGGTGATCGGAAAGGGAAGCTAGAACGAGGAATAATGGGATCAGGAGATACATCGTCCGACTCAGAGTGAGCAGACGAGGAATAGAGAGGGGAAGAGTGAGAATCGTCTTCACTGGTATCTGCTTCGGAGTCATTCTCGCTATTGCTCTCTAGGATAGGGAGATTTGCAACTTCATCGGATTTCAGGAGGAATCGATTGCTCTTTTGGATCTCGTTCGACACACTCTCACTGTTTGTTAGAAACTACGATTTCACCTTACTTCAGCGCTTCCACGTTATTTCCACTTTCAAAAGATGGATCGTTCTCCGGACAGTAATCTTCCTCTACAAACTATAATCAAAGGAATAGGCGGTATTACCATCTATGAATTAAAATGTTACAAATAAAGCTACAATTTTCGTTCGGAATATATCGATCTCCAACAAACTCGGGCATGAAGGTATTCTGGATATCTTTCTCACTAAACGTGATATCTGAACAGATCTCTCACCTGCTCTCATCACTGCTGTGCAGGTTGTTCATCATGGCGAAAGACAAACGCTGTGCTTCATCCATTGTTTTCACCCCGCCAGCAGGTTTTGAATAATTATTAATAAGGTCCATTCTTTTAGGATTAATAACCTTATCAAGAAAAAGTGAACTTTTGTTTTATTAGTTTCGATTTTACCTCAAAACTGTTTAAAAACAAACACAAATAGGGAGAAACGACTAACCATCGCATAGCAAGGACGATTCACGCAAGAAAAGAATCATACCATCTAGAGGATGTGTCTCAAAAAACGTTATCAGACGCATGTCACTCCACCACATCCTTCCTATAATCCAAAGCGAAAATCCGTGAACCCCATCGATAAACCTTGCCTCAACGACCTGGATCCCTGGTAAGAATTCAAGCACATAGCGCATCGGAACTCTTCGTACAAAGCCATCAATAATAACCCGACGCAGATATCCTGCTCCCTGCTCCATCCTCTCCACTCCCATCTCCTTCCAGGGCATGCCCGGCTGCAGCTCGCCTTGTGCCCTGCAGGGAGGACAAGAAGCAGGAGGAACAGACGAATAGGGAGGGATGGGACGAGTGGGATGAGTTGGATGAGTGGGAGGGATGGGACGAGCGGGATGAGCGGGATGAGCGGGATGAGCGGGACGAGCAGGTTGAATGGGATGAATGGGATCGATCATTGAGTTCAAATTGTTCAAATTGTTTAAATTGTTTAAATTGTTTAAGTTGTTTAGGTTGTTCAAGTTGTTCAAGTTGTTCAAGTTGTTTAGGTTGTTCAAGTTGTTCAAACTGTTCATATCATAACAATCACTGCAATTACTCAAAAGATTCGACATGTTCAAAGTGTGGTAATTCCTTCCAAAATTCAATTCATTCAAATCATACAATTCATTCAATTCATACAATTCATCCAATTCATTCGGAGAGCACGGCTTTCTACTATTCTCTTCACAAAAACAACACAATTCTCGCCCTCCAGGCGTGCCTCCACGCCCAAAATCGTTCGTTTCAGACAAAGGAATGGGCTCCGCAGCTTTCGGCTCATCGCCACACGGCAAATTCGAGTCATTCTTCGCTCCAGAGCGTGGTGAAGCAAGAAAATCACGGCTAAAATAACCGTTTCGGTGGATTACCAATGAAGAGAGACGGCTGAACTGCACCTCGAAAGAAAAGCGACGGCCATTCCAGGTGTAGGCCAGCTCTTGAAGGCGACACTTCGCGAAAACGCTCTCGCTCAGATGAAGGTATTCGACGAGAGCTTTCGGACCAGCGTCATGGATGAACATGCGAATACGCGTGACATTCCCAAATCGACTGCAAATCTAGGTAAAAAGTCAGATGGCATAGGATACGGAAAATAAGTGATTTAGAGATAGGGTAGAATTGTCAAAACATATGATAGATATTAGCAAAACTCGTTGGGGAATAGAATGATCTTCAGGTACAATTAACTCGGAGTAGCGAGAATACTGAAGATTAATATCATGACCATGAATAATCAATTTGTTTCTCTCAAAATAATTCATAACTTTTACAGCATCTTGAACTGAATACAACTCGATAAGTGCCTAGGATTACTAACAAGAAATAAGAAAACCTGATTATTGGGCCGTAAAATAAACAACTCCTTTACTTTACATACTTTTTCGATTTGCTCAATGATGTCAAGCTACAGTATCATCGAATAACGAAAGTAGAATACCCGAGATATACTATGAGTAATTAGGTTGGCATGGAGAACCTTTGATACGACTATTTCATCACCTTTCTAACAATCACTCGCAAAACAAGGTATTACAAGCATGATACTCTATCAAGATAGATAAGAATACAAACGATAAACAATAATTCAAAGAATGCCAAGCTAAAATACTATTATGACATTAAGCTGAACTACAAAATGTGGAAACAACGAACACAGATGATTCAGTTATTGCATGACACATTAATTCACAGCATGAAACAAACTCAGATTGACATATTCTTGTTTTCTCCCAGATCCTGCATTTGCATAGTTTTACTAAATTCATTGCAGTAGGACAACACATGCAAAATGTCCTAGTGCTAGATCCCTAGCATTCAGAGAGTTTTGCGGAATCGCGGTTATTTAGGACTGCTGGCAGAAAAAGGATTTGGTAAATAGAGAACCTTTCTAAACCCATTTTCTCAATAATCATTCTGATTGACGGTATATTATGTTCAGAGCCCTTGCTAGAACTGTTCCCACACTTCGAAGTGCTGTTGCGATGAGATATTTCGCTTCTCAGGCATGCGCTGGTTATTCGCCATTAAGATTAGACTTTCCTTCCTACTGAAGAGGTCACCGCCCGTATGCTGGATGTGGTGAAGAAATTCGATGCTGTCGATCCTACTCGTGTAAGTGGTTCGATACGAGTTCTTATCCATTTAGGTGACTCCCACGGCTCATTTCCAGAACGATTTGAAGCTGGATTCTCTGAACGTTGTAGAGTTGATTATGGCCATTGAAGATGAATTCGCTCTCGAGATTGCTGATGACGTCGCCGAGAAGATCCATACTGTCGGAGATGCCATCAAATTCGTTAGTGAACATCCCTTCTCTAAGTAATTATCAACACAAGAACCACCATTGCCATTATACAAACTAGAATAGTCTTGTTTGATAACAAACACAACACAGTTGCATCTATATTCCTATTACACACGTCTCCGCTTACTCTCCTTCCCCTTCTCTCCCTCTCCCTCTCTCTCCTCATCCTGAAGAATCTGCCCCACCGTCCTCGTCACCGTGCTCACTCCATCCACGAATTTGGTTCGGAAGATCACATTCGCATTCGTGAACATGCCCTCCTTCAGGCTCACCACGATAAACTGGCTCTGTCCGAAGTGTTTCCTCAGCATCCTCCCGATGTTCTGCGTGTGGCTCAGATCCAGCGCCGCGTCCACTTCGTCCAGAATGTACATCGGCGCCGGTTTGAACAGCAGCAGCGCCAGCACTAACGACAGCGCCAGCAGCGATCGCTGCCCGCCGCTCAGCTCCGACAGCGACTCTTTCTCCTTCCCTCCGAAGGCCACGCGGACCTCCAACCCGTCCAAAACCGTCCCGCCTGCGGGGGGATCGAGGCGCGCGGAAGCCCCTGGAAGCAGCGTGCTGAAGATCGAGCCGAAGTCGCGATTGACCTTCGCGTACGTCGAGGCGAGCGTTTCTTTCTTCTTGATGTCCAGCTCGTCGATCACCTTCACAATCTGGCTGCGGTCGTTCTCGATGATTCGCCGCTTCTTGAGCAGTTCTTGGTACTCGCTCTCCGCCTTCTCCATCATCCCCAGCACTTTCTTGTTCAGCCGACGCCCCAAATGTTCCTGCTCCTCCTCCAGACTCGCGATGCGCGCGCGCAGCTCCTTCGGGTCCAGGCGCGCGAAGTCGTAGTCCGTTCCCTCCTTCCCGAACTCGCTCTCCTCGCTGCTCAGCCACGCGAACTGGCTCAGCAGGCTTTGCATTCGGCTCTCCGCGTCCGCGCGCGCCTTCTGCAGCTTCGCCTTCCTCCCGGCCACTTGCTTTCGCTTCGCTTCCGCCTCCTCCATCTCGCGATTCCGCGCCTCCAATTCGCGCTGATACTCCTGCACTTCCTCCGATTGCCGGTGCGCTTCTTCGCGTTTCGCCGTCGCTTCGCGCTTCACGCGATCGTACTCCTCCTTCATCGCGCGCATCTTCGCTTCCAGCGCCTCCACCACCTTCGCGTGCGTCGCCAGCGCTTCTCTCTGCGCAGCGATCGCCGCTTCCATCTCCCCCAGCTGTCGTCGCTGCTCCTCTTCCTCCAATCGCTGCTCCTCCGCTTCGTTCGCTCCGGATTCCGCCGCTTTCGCCTTCATCTTCGCGCTCTGGCGACACGCCTCCACCGATTCCATCAGCGCCTGCACGCTACTCGCGCCCGCCGCTTTCATTTCCCGCTCCTTCGCCTCCAGATCTCGCAAATGCGCTTCGCCGCGCTTTTCTTCGCCCACCGCTTCCTCCAGCAGGCTTCGCAGCTCCGCAATCTCCTTCGTTCTCGCCGCCTTCTCGCTCTCCAGTCGCGTCGATTCGCCTCCCGCGCTTCTCTCCAGCACCTCCATGTTGTGCAGCTCCAGCTCCAGTCTGCCCTGCACGCGCTGCTCTTCCTGCCGCTTCCCGCGCAGCCGCTCGAAGCTCGCTCGAAGCTGCGCGGCCTCCTGCTCCAGCGCCACGCGCCGATCGCGCAGCTGGTTGGCCTCGGCCAGCAGCTGCAGCACGGGGACGCTGCGGCTCCGCGCGCCGCCCTCCAACACCCCGGAGGGATCCACAATGTCGCCGTCCAGCGTGACGGTCCGCGCGCGCACGCCGGGGTGGAACGCCACTTTCCGCGCCACGTCGAGCGTCTCGCAGACCAGCGTGGTCCCGAAGACGTACTCGATCGCCTCCTGCACGCTCTCGCTGTACCCCACCAGCGTGAGCGCCAGCGAAACCGACCCTTGCGGCGCCAATCGCTGCGCTTGGAGCACTTTCGCGGGGGGGAGCGTGTGGTGGCGGATTCGGTTCAGCGGAATGATGGTCACGCGCCGCTGCAAGCGGCCTTTCTTCAGCAGCGCGCTGCCCGTCTCGTCCGTGTCCACCACCACTTGGTAGAGCTTCCCGCCCGCGCAGACTTCGATCGCGTTGGTGAAACGCTCGTCGCGCACTTCGATCAGCTCCGCCACCAGGCCTTTCACGCGCGAGCGATCGAAGTGCGGCTCGGGATCGCTGTAGCTGAATCGCAGACTGCTCACTTGGCTCTCAGCGCGATCGCACGCGCTTCGGACTTGTTCGAGCTCCGCCTCCACGTTCTGATCGTCACTCCCGTTCATTTCGATCGACTCGAAGCGATTGCTGCGCGTGCTCGTACTCCCCGCTGTCCAACCCGATGCTGCTCAGCTCTGAACGCAGCTTGTTCACGCGATCTCGACAGGCCGTTAGCTCCGCTTCGTTCTTCGCTCGCTCGCCAGCACTTCGATCCAATGTCGCGTTGATTCGCTCCAGCTCGGCTTCCGACGCCGCCAATTGCTGGCGCAGCTGTTTGATCTTGCTCGCTTGTTCCAACTGCACGCGTCGTTGCTAGTTCTCACCTCCATCTCGCGCTCCTACCGCTTCCACCAAGTCGCCAAAGCTTCGGCCGGACGATCCAGACGATCCGGAGGATCCGGAGGATCCGACATCGCCTTGCTTGGCGTGTTCCAACTGCTTTTCGAGCTCTTCGAGCCGCACACGCTCTTCGCTCGCTTCCTTCGCGCGATTCTCCGCCTCGATTCGCTTTCTCTACGCATTACACGCCTCCTCAGCACGCACGCGAGCCAACGTCGCGGCCTCCTCCACGCTTTGCGTCATGCTCTGGAACCGATTCTCCGCCAACCGAAGCTCCTGCTTCTCCCGGTCCATCGCGGTTATTTCGCTGCTGTAGCTCGCGTTCTCGCGGATCAAATCCTTCGAGCGTTCGCGCTCCAACCTCTAGATGACTCGCTCGTCCCTCTCTCACACTCAACTCGTCCGCGTCCGCGCTTGCTTTGGAGTTGGATTGGATCGCCTTCACCTTCCGCTCGATTTCCTCGCTTCGATTCTACCTCTGACTCCGACCCTTCCGCACACTTTCAACCGGTTTATCGCGCTCTCCAGGTTGAGCTCCTCCGCTATCAGCCTGTTTTCTTCGGCTCCGTCGTGCAGCGTTTGACGAGCCGAGTAGTATTCGAACGCTGTTTCTTGACGATGCAAACGCTCAATCTCCGTGGAGTTCGACGCCCACTGAAGATACGCGCTGCGCTGCGCCCGCAGCTTCTCGAGAGTCGGAGTGATATCTACAGCTTGCAACCCACGAGCGATTTAACCTTCCTCCAAAATCTTCGTTATCTCCGATACTTTCACGTCTTTCTTTTCCATCGTTTTCTGGGCTTGAGCCTTCTTCATCTCATACAGCCGAGTACCACACGCTTCTTCAACCATACCAAGAATCTCCTTTGGTTTCATATTCAGGACCTTCGTAATGTGTCCCTAAATTTCAACGGTTTCGTAGTGCAGTACTTGCATGATCAGAAAGTGGGGGTTATTCACATTCAACTGAACACTGTGAAATAGATTCTGGACTTGGTTCACTTGGGCGTTGTGGCCCTGAATCAAGTATTTGTTGCGTCCACCTATCACCACTTGACGAGTCACTGTGATTCGGTCATACTGCTCGTATCCAATAGGGCTCTGATCACTGCGCTCGTTGTTGAATACTAACGTTACTGTTGCTTTCGTGATGCCCGCCTGGCCTTGTTTGTACACTAATTCCTGTAGATTCTTTACACGGACCTAATACGTAATAACCTGTTATCAAAAAGAAGCATACTTGAGACAAGTTGGTAATTCCTAAGACAAAACAGATCGCATCCAGAATATTGGACTTCCCACTCCCATTTAGTCCTGTAATCGCATTGAATTTGCTGTCAAAGCCAGAGATCACTGTACGATTAGCATAACTCTTAAATCCATCTAAAATGATTTCTTCCAAGTACATATTGGCTCAATTACTAGATGGATTTTATTTGCTTTTCGTATTTGAATTCTCTTTGACCTTTTTTTCTATTTTAAACATTTGTTTTGTATTTCCGGAGTCGAGTGGAAAGTATCAAGATGCTTAAAAAGCCTTTTTGGACAAATGGCAATAAAAAGTTCGGTGCGACTCTTCAGAGGGTGATTGCAATAAATGAGACAATTTGTGTGATTAAGGAGTGCGCGTTTAATATAGAATAGGTAAAAATAGAATGGACCACTTGATGAATCGAGTAAAGTATTAATAATAAGTATAATGAATTTAGGGGCAGTGGGCGTTTCACTCTAGTTGATTATTCCATATACACAGATAGTCTTACCAGAAAGCCAAAATGTCTGAGGAAGTAAGTCGAAGTGTGTTTAGAGTGGTTGGAGTGTTGAGGCGTGAGAAGTGTTGCATGTTTACGGAAAGGGACTTTCTAACGGTATAATAGGCTAATAACGTTGCTGCAAACTTAGAGCAGAAGAAGAAGAGAACTTTCAAGAAGTTTACTTACCGCGGAGTGGACTTGGACAAGTTGCTGGACATGCCCTTGAAGGATTTGATGGAGCTTGTTGATGTA